GAGGGTTGTGTGTTAGGTAACCGACAGCCAATACGTAAAAAAGCCGCTCGAATCCCTTATGACAATGAATCATATTTTAAATCGTTTAAATGCTAGGTCGTTTCCCTCAAGTGACGCGTTGCGCCTGCCTCAGGGTGTTTTGAATAGTGAGCAAGAGGCGCCGCATCGACGCTTGGGTGCAGTGAAAAATGGGCAAAGGTTTCTGCATTTTTCTGGATGAGCACGAGTAAAAAAACTAGTCCAAGACTATAGGTTTAGGGTAGTCACTTGGAATATAAGAACCTTAACTGGTAAGACGATGGAGCTGATAGATGTTATGATTAGGAGGAGAGTTAGTATAGCTTGCGTACAAGAAACTAAGTGGACGGGTGAGAAAACTAGGGAAATTGAGGATACCGATTTTAAACTGTATTATAATGGTAAGGATAGACGCAGGAATGGGTAGGAATCTTAATTGCCAAGGGTCTTGTGGAGAATGCAGTGGTGGTCATTAGGAAAGGGGATAGGATTATGTTAGTTAAACTAGTTATTGGAAGGAATATAATGAATGTTATTTGTGCATACGCCCCTCGAGTAAGATTAGATGATCAGACTAAAAGGGATTTTTGGGAGCAAATGGATGAGATCTTACAAGAGATACCTGTAGGAGAGAACCTGGTTATAGGTGGAGATTTTAATGGCCATGTAGGCATAGATAAACTAGGCTATGAAAGGGTGCATGGTAGATACGGTTTTGGTAATAGAAATGAGGCTGGAGAAAGTATCTTAGATTTTGCGTTGGCTTCTGACCTAGTGGTGGCCAATACTATGTATAAGAAGAGGAATGAGCATTTGATAACCTTTAAGAGTGGGTCAGTTAAGAGCCAAATAGATTACTTCTTAGTAAGAGAAGTGGACTGCCTAAAATGCAATGATTGTAAGGTGCTTCCTGAAGAGAGCCTGACCTCTCAATATAGGATTTTGGTGCTAGATTTATGTTTTAGAGGGCAATACCAAGCTAGGAAGGATGGTGGGCATCGTAGGGCGAGATGGTAGGACCTAAAAGGGGATAAATTAAAAAATATTTAAGAATAGAATGGATAAGGAAGGTACTTGAGGCTTGAAAGATGATGCTAACTCTATGTGGAACTCAATGGCCAATTGTATGAGGAGAATCTCAAGGGAAGTGCTTGAAAAGTTGAAAGGAACGGGACTCAGCTCTAGAGAAACTTGGTGGTGGAAGGAAGAGGTTCAAGTCATAGTTAAGGAAAAAAAAGAGTACTTTAAAAAGTGGCAAAAGAATAGAACTGAGAAAAACCTTAAGAGCTATAGATTGGCTAATAAGGAGGTCAAGAAAGTAATGAGAGAGTCTAAGTTGAAAGCTTATGATGATCTATACACTAGACTAGATAGTAAAGAGGGAGAGAATATGGTATACAAACTTGCTAAGATACGGGAGAGGAAAACAAGAAATTTTAATCAAGTTAAGTGCATCACGTGTGAAGATTCTAAGGTATTGGTGAGGGATGAAGAGATTAAGGAAAGATAGAAGAACTATTTTGAGAAACTATTAAATGAGGAACATGGAGATACGACAATAGGGGAAGAAATAGCCAGTAATACAATAAACTAAGACTATAGATCCTATCGCATAATTATGAATTTTGAAGTGGAGATTGCACTTAAGAAGATAAAATCAAATAAGGCTTTAAGACCAGATGATATCCCTATTGAAGCTTGGAAGTGTTTGGGTAGAAAGGGGGTTGCTTGGGTGATTAGGTTGTTTAGCAAAATTTTGTTGACTAGGAACATGCCAGATGAGTGGAGGAAGAGTATTTTAGTGTCAATCTATAAGAATAAAGGAGATGTCCAGAATTGCAACAACTATAGAGGAATCAAGCTAATGTGTCATATAATGAAAGTGTGGGAGAGTGTGATAGAACGCCGATTGCGAGATATAACAGAGGTGTCAGAGAATCAATTTGGGTTTATGCTTGGCAGGTCAACAATGGAAATGATCTATCTTTTGAGGAGAGTAATAGAAAAGTATAGAGAAAAGAAAAAAGACATTCATATAATGTTTATTGACCTTGAGAAAGCATATGATAGAGTGTCCCGGAATATAATATAGTGGGTGTTAGCGAAGAAAGGGGTGACAAAAGGTTACATTGATGTGATTAGAGACATGTATAAAGGAGTGGTGACTACTATTAGATCGCTTGCTGAAGAGACAAATGAATTTCCTATCACTGTAGGGTTACACCAAGGATCTACCTTAAGTCATTATCTTTTTGTTTTAGTTATGGGTGAGTTGACGAGAAATATCCTGGATGGCGTGCCATGTTGTATGCTTTTTGCAAACGATATAATGCTAGTGGATGAGACTAGAGAAGGAGTTAATACAAAGTTGGAAATTTGGAAAAAAAACTCTTGAATCTGAAGGATTCCGGATCAGCAGAACTAAAACAAAGTACATGGAGTGTAAATTTATTAACGATAACAATAAAAGCAGAGGAGAAGTGAAGATTGAGAACCAAGAATTGCCTAAGAGTGAACATTTTCATAATTTAAGGTCGATTATCATAACAGCGGGGGAGATTGATGCGGATGTGCCCATAGGATTAAGGCGGGATGGTATACGTGGAGAAATGCGTCTGGGGTACTGTGTGATAAACAAATATCCATTAGACTTAAAGGTAAGTTCTATGGAACGGCTATTAGACCAGCGATGTTATATTGGACGAAGTGTTGGGCAACCAAGAAACAACATATAAATAAGATGAGTGTGGTTGAGATAAGAATGCTAAGATGGATGTGTAGCAAGACTAGACAAGACAGAATTATGAATGATTGTATTCGGGAATGGGTAGGAATAGCACCGATAGAAGATAAGTTGAGAGAGAATCAATTGAGATGGTTTGGTCATATTCAATGGAGACCAACAGAGACAGTAGTGAAGAGATGCGATACTGTAATGGTAGATGGAAGTATTAGGGGACAGGGTAGGCCTAGATTAACGTTGGTTAGCGTTGTAAATAGAGATATGGATCTACTTAATTTGACTAACGAAATGGCCTTTGATAATGCCGCGTGGATGATTTACAAACAGACCATTTGAAGTGGTCTTTGATGGTCTGGTCGTAAATCATCCACGCGGCATTATCAAAGGCCATTTCATTAGTCAAATTAAGTAGATCCATATCTCTATTTACAACGCTAACCAACGTTAATCTAGGCCTACCCTGTCCCCTAATACTTCCATCTACCGTTACAGTATCGCATCTCTTCACTACTGTCTCTGTTGGTCTCCATTGAATATGACCAAACCATTTCATCATATTACAATGGCAACTGAGAACAAGTAATAGGTGCAACTGCCGAACCAGTAGAATCCACAAACAAACTCAATGCTTCCCCTTCTTGAGAAGATTGCTCTCACGGTTGTTGAGCTGTCTTCACTGACGAGAATCCTACCATTAGAATCATTGTTGTACCAAATTGAGGGAAAACTTGAATTGAGGTAGAACATGGGACCAAATGATGGAGGTAAGGAAGAAGATCCAGCCACCTCAACAGAAGTTTGGGCAATATTTTGAGCTAAAAACACACTGAAAACAAATGAGCAGAACAAAAATATGATTATTCGAGCCATGATCTCTGATGAATTACTTTTATCGCTCTTTTGTTGCTAGCTTTATAAAGAGTTACCAGAGTAAACTTGGGGGTGGGAGAACAAAAGTCATCACAAGTCAAGTCTCATAAAGGAGGTGGAGCAATTTTATACAGGTTCTGTGGGCAGAGATTGACCAATGAGCCCATGTGAATGTCAATGTGTATCATAACTTCCAGGTAAGTGAGCATGCCTGCACACAGAGGTATATATGTATACATGTGTGTAATGATGGATAGAATAAGTCTATGTACACCGAATTAAACCACAAAAAAATAAAAAATAATACACAATGGGGCTTACCTCTGGAGAAAATAATGAGGCAAATTATACCTCTGATAGGCCCGACCATGCTAAAGTGTACATTCTGGGTACTTTTATATGGTTTAATTCCATGTACGTAGTGATATTTTTATTTTTGGAACAAATTCTTAGTTTCTCACCCACCATTTGTCCATTATGCAAAAAAATAAAACTAAAATAAAAATTAAATTAAATAGAAATTAAATAACACTCAGTTTAATGAATATGTAAGTCTTTAGAATTGAAACAATTCAAAGAATTCTGTTTTTAAATAAGAGAAGTTAAAATATGATTTGCTTCCCAATTTTTCAACTAATACAGGTTTTCTTATTTTGTTAATATACAAAATCTAAACAATCAGTTTAAAAGATAAATTTAAAGGTAAGACAAGTAGTTTAGGATAGGGGATGGTGAGACCTTTTCTTCCCCACAAGACAAGTTTTAGATTCGCCACTAAATGTAAATTGGTGAAGCATCAGAGTGTATTTAAGATAGAATTTTCAAAACCAATTTAGTCCTTGATTTTTTATTTTCTATTGCTGTTAAGAATTTTGACTGCAATCCCAATATTTAATGAAAATTTGAATCTCAAAACTTCTATCAGATTTTAATGCTTAACCATCCTTGAAATTTTTAGACTTCGGCTCTAAAGAATGAGAATCAACTATATGGCCAATGATAATTCCAAGTCTATTACTCTTACTTTTGGCCAAAGCACTAACGGTCAACAGAAGCTATCAATAGTTCGTGTCATGTGGACCATATAACAAGAGAAAAAATACAATACAATCTAATAAATCTTACAAACTTTTCTTACTGCCATGGCAATGTAGCATACAACCATGAAACTTTGTTAATTGAATGGCTCAGAAGGCCACTAGCTAGTACCTTTTTAAGTAAATTTTCCGAATCAAACCTTTGACACAATGGAATGTTGTCGATGCAACTAAAATAATTATTCTGTTATTGTAAAACACATGAAAAATACTAACAAATAGTTTCCAACAAGTCTGTATAAAAACAAATTCATCTCTTTCCATATATGAGATAAGTTAAAATCATGTTACATGAATAAATCAGAAAAATCCCATTGTTCAAAACATAAAACAAAGAATTAATGCCATAAACAGCCAAAGCAGTGTAAAATCTCCCTACCAGTAATCAGCACAAGAACATTTCCCATCTTTGAAATGGTGAAACCTACTAGCATCTTGTACAATAATTTCTCGGTTTTCTGTCTCCGACATGTACTTGATAGCAACATGGCAATCACTGCAGACACGCAAATTCTTCATCACCCGGATTGGAACACCCTCTGAGGTGTTCATCAGAGCAAAAGCAATTGCCAACATTTCGCTATGGTGTGCCAAGTTATGTTCCTTCTCCTCAGCATCCATGTCATGTAAAACAGAGCCGGTGTCAGGCACGTAACCCCGCAGTTTCATTTCCCAAGTCAGTTCTTTCAAGTACATATCAATCTCCATTGATTGTGGATGGGATTTGTCACCCATACAAAACTGGTGAACCTGGTTCTTCACCTCAAACCAGCTGATACCTGGCTCCTTCTTCACCCTCCTATCTCTCATCACTTTCCTCACTTCTGAAACATCCTGCCATCTTTTACCAGAGGCTTGAATATTCGACAGCAGCACATAAGGAGCCGAATCCTGAGGATCAAGCCTAAGAACTTCTTCAGCAATCCTTTTAGCAATATCTGTGTTTTTATGGATTTTACAGGCAGATAATATAGTCTTCCATATAATAGCATCTTTCTTTACAGGCATAGTTCTTATAAAACCTTCTGCCTCCTCCAAACAGCCAGACCGCCCAAGCAGATCAACCACACATGTATAATGTTCTAGCCGAGGCTCCAATTTGTACTTTTCTATCATCAAATTAAAGAATTGAAGTCCTTTATCTTTCAATCCACAATGACTACAAGCATAAAGCAAGCTTAAAAAAGTAACGTCATTTGCATCCAACCCCACTTGATCCATCCGATTAAACAGCTCGATGGCTTCCTCTCCCTTCCCATGGAACCCATATGCAGCAATCATTGAACTCCACAAGACCACATCGGCTTCTTCCCTTTCCAAGAAAGCATTTACAGATTCATCCAAACAACCACATCTAGGGTACATACTAATCAGTGAACTAATAACACCAACAACAGTACCTGCACCAGTTTTTATTGCCTCCGCATGAATCTGTTGGCCTTGTCCAAGTGTTGCTAACTCCGAACAAGAACTGATTACACTCACAAACGTAATCTTGTCAGACCTAAAACCTGCCATTTTCATCATATTACACTGATCCAAAGCACCCTCAGAGAAACCATTTTGAGCTCTACCCGCAATAAGCATGTTGCAAGCAACCACATTGCGAATTGGCATTGCTTTGATCACTCTCTCTCCTTCTTCCAAACTTCCAGACTTCATGTACATGTGAGCCAAAGAACTCCCAACAACTAAATTGAACTCAAACCCAGATTTCACCACATATCCATGAACCTGCCTGCCCACATTCAAATCTTTCAAACCCGCACTGTAAAAATAAATGTATAAAGAGAGAATAAATTGTGTATATATTGATATATGTTATTGTGTATTTACAAGAGAATAAGTTCGCTCTCTTTATAGAGAGGAGAAGGAGACAGTTGGAATACTGGCTCACCGAAAGCATACAAATATACATTAAGATAATGCAAAGGCGTCTGAAGGTGGTAGTGGGTGAACTCTTTACAGCCTACAAAGGCACTACAATGCATAGTATAATATATACAAAAGGCACTATAATGTATAATATAATATATGTTAACAGCCCCCCGCAAACTCAAGGAGGGTAGGAACTAACCAACTTGAGTTTGGAGAGAGTAACAAAACAGAAAAATAAGCTGACAAATAAAATTAAAAAATGGGATAGGAGACACTGTATGGTTGTGTCAGACCGTTGTAGAAGACACGGTATGGTCGTGTCGGACCGTTGTAGCAGACAGTTTACGGGGTCATGTCGGACCGTTGTAGAAGACAGTTTACGGGGTCATGTCGGACCGTTGTAGAAGACAGTTTACGGGGTCATGTCGGACCGTTGTAGCAGTAGCTCTGTATGAATGTTCTGATAATGTACCTTTCTCCCAACTACTGATGTTGAGCTATGCTATCTTTTCATTGTGAGTACCCTTTCTAGTTGTTACTTAAAATATCAAATTTCAACAATTCAAATGATAGAAATCTCAAGAGTTTTCAGGGCGACTCTAGAAATTTTTATGAATAGTGTCATTCAATTTTTTTTGATATTATCTGTATTTTCTATATTTTATTTTTTCATATTTTCAAAGACAAAAATATTGAAAAGTTTAAAAACATGTAACATTTAATATCTTCTATATATTTTTTTAAGTAAAACAATGTTTGAAATTAAAAAATAGTCCTTAAAAGGAGTATTATTTTCATTTTTTTTTCTTTCAAAAATTGCCTATCAAGCAAGATTTTCATATTAGTTTTTGTTTTTTTTATTTATAAAAATAAAAAACTTCTCAAATTATAAATAAAAAACTAATGTTATTTTAACAAAAAAAGACAGGAAACACTTTTACGGATCCTCTATACGGATCCTCTATGGTGTACTCTCTGTAGTTCATTCTATAGTACTTTGAATGACAATATGCCACATCAAAAACATAGAAGAACTATTTAAAGTTAAAAATAAACTATGTTTTAAAGAGCAATACCATACATAATCACTTTTCTTATCTCATTTTCTCTCTTGGACCAAATAATGTGATTCGCATTGTAAAATAACTGATGTATTATTATTGATTGATTTTTTGTATTGATTGATATATTATGTTTACAATGATCAAATATATAGAAGAGAAGAAGGTAGTAGGTGAAGTGGTAGGAGGTGAAGTGGAGGTGGTAGGTGGAGTGGGTTATAGTGGAGGTGGTAGGTGGGTGGTAATTTACATTTTACATTAACAGATCGAATCAGTATGTTGCCTGACTCTCTCTTCATTCAGGTGGAGCAAAAAATGGCAGTGCAAACGGATGTGGAGGCTAATCAGTATACTTTGAAGGCATGCGTGGAAAGCATGACGGCGGTCACAAATTTGTCGAACCGGCTGCAGAGTAGGACAAATGAGGTGCAGCATTTAAACTCCCAGCTGGCTCTGCTCCAACGCATGTATAAGGATGCGCGAGCAGAGATAAGCGTTTTGAAAGCGGAAAACAAGGAGCTGAAGCGAAAGGCCACCGTGATGTTCCGATTTGGAGGGCCGCCATATGCGACAGTGGAGGAGCAGGGAGTGAATGTGCTTGGTGGATTAGGAAGCACAGAGGCAGCACCGTCAAGGACCGCCCAGGACGGAGGCAAAAAGAAGAGACCGGCGGCAGAGTAGGTCGGTGGGTGGCCGTCTGCAGAAAAGAAAACAAAGCTGTTGTTGTTGTTGTTTTTTTTTTTTTTTTTTTTTTTTTGTTTTGGTAATAAGAATAATAAGAATAAGATATTAAAAGGGAAAGAAGGTGCACTGGTGGGTGAATAAAAAAAAAATGGGTGGAATAAGGAATCATAAAGTGCATGTGGGGCGGTGGGTTGAAAAGTAAAAAAAAAAGAGAGAAAGAAAGTGGGGTTTGCAGGTACATTTGTGACTGGCAGTGAGCATAATGATGAGTTCTTTGTAGATGAAAATGGCCGAATCAGGACAAGAACAAACCGTTCTGGTGGGATCCAGGGTGGAATATCCAATGGAGAAATAATAAACATGAGAATAGCTTTAGCGTCTGGAAAGAGCAGAAAGTGTTTGGCTTTATCAGTCTCATCCACCATCTGAAGCTCATTATCTATGGCTGAAGATGGGCACGGATCAGTGGCTAAGAGGGATACGCACACAAGGGTTCTTGCGACGCCGATCGCCGCCACAAATGGTCATGTGACGCGGCAGAGCTCTGGCGACCATGGCGGCGGAAGACAAGGGGATTAGGTACAGGGGCATTCGGAAGAGGTTTGTGGAACGAAGAAGTGAGATCGGCATCGCAATTGTCGATCACAGACGACGATGAATCGCAATCGCTGTGACAATCCTCCGGCGGAACCGGCGGTTGAATCTCGGCGGCGGCGGCTGAGGAAATCGAGCAACATGCTTCTTCTTTCTTGCAGAAATGGTTCTTGGATCCTTTACAAGCATAAGATCATCCAAAGCAGATGAAGAAGTATACCTAGTGTCTCTAGGTCTAGAAGCCTCAGCAGGGAATTTCTTTCCAGATTGTGGTTTCTTCAAGCCATATTCTTTTGCTGCATCCTGAAGAGAAATCCCACTCAATTTCTTTAAAGTCTCATCAAAGCAACTGCCAGAAGTACTATGAAAACTCCAGCTGTGGCGAGATGACGACTGAGATTCGAAGAACGACAAGAACGCATCCATGGTTCTTGAGAGAGCTCGATCGATTGATTCAATTACAAGGTTATATCTATGTAGGTATGTATATTTATGTGTTGATAGAGGTGACAGCGGAATAGGTTGAGGTCCGGCGAGCGGCCAAGGCGAGGTTGCCGCCCGCCGGTGAAGCGAGAAATACTAAGATCTTAACCTTGCTCTGATACCATGTAAAAATAAATGTATAAAGAGAGAATAAATTGTGTATATATTGATATATGTTATTGTGTATTTACAAGAGAATAAGTTCACTCTCTTTATAGAGAGGAGAAGGAGACAGTTGGAATACTGGCTCACCGAAAGCATACAAATATACATTAAGATAATGCAAAGGCGTCTGAAGGTGGTAGTGGGTGAACTCTTTACAGCCTACAAAGGCACTACAATTACAGCCTACAAAGGCACTACAATGCATAGTATAATATATACAAAAGGCACTATAATGTATAATATAATATATGTTAACACGCACAACCTCGAAGAACACTACCCAGAGTGAACTCATCCAACATAAAGCCCAAACCATGCATTTGGGAAAACAAACTCAACCCCTCTTCGTTAAACTCAAACTGGGTCATACCCGCAACCATCGCATTCCACGTCGCAACATTTCGTTCCGGCATTTCATCAAACACCTGACGTGCACTCTCTAAATCACCATTTTGAATGAACCCACCAATCAAAATGTTGCAAGACATGATGTTCTTCATGGGCATTACGTCGAACAGTGTAACGGCGGTTGAAAGTTCTCCGATTTTGGCATAGGCGTTGAGTAGGTGGTTGGATACGAACTTTTCTGAGGAAGACCCAGATGTGATGATCAGAGAATGGAGGTGTTTGAGGAGTGAGAGAGATTGGGTATGAATGCATCGTTGGAGGAGGTGAGAGAAGAGAGATGGGTCGGACCAAATCTCTGATGTGAATGATTCAAATGCTTCTTTGAGGCGGCCTTTGGAGCAGAGGTTGGTGAATTCGTTTGGAGTTTTGGAGGTGTTTGTGGAGAGAAAGCGAAGAGGGGTTGGAGTGAGAGGCCTAACACATGACTTTGACAGACCCATACATTTGGGTTGGCTTGGCTTAATGACCTGTGTAATAAAACTGAAGTTCTGTTCTACTAGTATTTGGAGTCATTCAGATTCATTATATTTATTTTGAGAAAAAAATATTTATTTAAATAATTTTGATTAAACCGATGGCAAAAAATCCAGACTATTTTTTAGATCAATAAATAATTTTTCATTAATTTTTTAAAAAGAATCATAAATTAAAAGATTTCACTCTTGTGGATGAGGTCTTCAAAATCATTGAAAAATTACTAATAAATTAAAAAATATTGACGATTTTTTAGATGTCTAGAACAGTAAAAATGGATGAACAATTTGAAACGAATGGAGTAATCAACTAGATTCAAAACGCTAGTTTAGTTTTATCAATTGTGTAATTTTGCAAAGAAATGTATTTAATTGGGGTACTTACGTGTAAGTCCTAATAAGTGACCTTATTGTCTAATAGGTTTTATGGAAAAAAATTTGTCATAAAAAAACATTACTAATTTTAAGTTTTAGCGATAATTTATAAAAATCATGACAAAAAAAGTCACTAATTATTAATTTTTAGCGACGTATGTAAAAAATTGTCACAAAAAAATTTATTTTTAGCGACAATTTTGTCAAGACTTATTTTCAATAAGACTTGATAAGAATTAAGTTTAACTATTAGAACCTATTGGTAGTTTTGCATGATAAACTTGGTAAATTGAGACACTTGATTTTTGTTGATTGTCATCACTTAGAATGATATACTTACGACTAAGTGATTTGCAAGTATTTAAATTTAATTGATAAGAGTGGGTCAACACATTGAGCTTAGGGATGGAACCACATATTTATAAAAAAAAAAAAAAAAATTATATTTGATTTGGAGTATTATGTGTCCCCTCATTAGGTGTGATGTCTAGATTTGAATCTTGTTTAATGTGTAATGTAGTTTTGCTTTCCCTTATCCTCTTCCTATGTAAAAAATTATAAATAATAAAAAAATCGAGGTAGAAATCTATATACATATAGCATTTACTCAGCCTGTAGAGCATTTATCACAGATATCCCAGTTAGCTAATTGCTAACTCTCAATGGAGCAAAAGTTAACCATAGTAATTAGTTCGTAGAACATAGTTAACAACAACAGTAGTTAGTTTGGGAAGTCAGTTAGAGGTAGTTAAAATCGGTAGAAGAAAGGCAAGCTCAAGAATTAAAGCAAGAAACATCAGATTAAACCATTTGGGTATTAATGTATAACATTGAAAATGGAGAAAGTATGATCAAATATAGAATTAGTGGCTATTCCTAATTACACATGATGAGGATTACAAAATTATACATTGAGACATATGAAGATGTATGAGAATTGTAAATTGCATTTGCATTATGACCTGTGCTACTTATACAGTGACTGTAGATGGTACGGGTGAAGGGACCCGATTTTCAGCTGGGATTTCAACGAATTCAGAGAGAATCGCCCTGAATTCTTCACCGGTTATTGTTTCCTTCTCAAGAAGGATTTCCACAATTTTGTCAATAGCCTCACGGTTGTTCCTTATGTGGGTCAAGGCGATCTCATATGCTCCATCTGAAAGCCTCTTCACAGCAGTGTCAATGTCTTCGGCAAGCTTTTCTGACATCGAATTTCTTGCCATCATTCTCATAATCACATCAGCACTCTGAGCTGAAGATTCCATTAGTGACCATGGACCAATTTCAGACATTCCAAATGTGGTCACCATCTGCAGATATAGATCAATTAAAACCCTAAAATTTTCTAGAATTTTTTCAAATGGATTAATCAAGGAAAACAATTGCTTTCTCACTATTAGTTGAAAAAACAGATCACTGATTAGACTGGAATAAGCTCTTACTAGAAGGTGTAAGTTTTTTTTTTTTTTTTTTTTTTTTTTTTTTTTTTTTTTTTTTTTATTTCAGTTGATAACAATGAATATATTTTGCCACCTCAAACTTTATTTGAAAAAAAAAAAAAATTAAACCCATTTTCTCCATAAACTCAGTAAAATATTCGAAGTTTAGAGATTTCATTTCAATATTTTGACGAGGATTGCTTTCAAATATGGCTGGGGTGAAATTGACGTCCATTTTGAAACTAAAAACCTCAGTTAAATGATTTTACCTGTTTGGCCAAACCAGTGATCTGTTGCAAATCACCGGCTGCACCTGTGGTCACCTCAGGCTCACCAAAGATCACTTCCTCGGCAGCTCTTCCACCAAGTCCACCAACAATTCTTGCAAATAGTTGTCGCTTTGAGATCAAGGTCGGGTCATCTGCAGGAATAAACCATGTAAGACCTCGGGCCTGACCACGTGGAATAAGGGTGACTTTTTGAACGGGATCATGCCCTGGAGCAAGGGTCCTGCATGGAAAAGAAACCAATGAATTAGTGAGAGTAATAGAATAACAATTTTCATTGCGAACCAAAAAAAATTACAAGAGTGGCAGACAAGAAGTCCACCAAGGTAAACAAAAGAACTTTTAAGTTATTTAGTGATGCCCATCCCCAGAGACTATCTCACTGCAGAAGACAAAGAGGTCCAACAGCGACCGAGTAGGTAAACAGAAAATGAAGACAACATAATGAAATCAACTATGAATAATGTCCACAAGAAACACAAAGCACAAGGCACGAGTCAAACAATTTATAATATACATAAGTAGGTCATAAAACATTATTATTGCTAGCATCAACGCACATTTAAACATTTTAAGCATTATAATTCTCATAACCTCAGACTACAAAGACCAAACCTAGCAGAGTAGTAAAAAAGTGTTGGCACGGCATTTGTAAGAAAGGGCCTGAAGGGATGGGATTGAGAGTTCAATAATTTATACACCTTTCTCTGCACAAAGTATAAGTGCCCCGTGATAATGCCATCTTTATACCATTCAAAAAAAAATAAACCACTGGCACAACAATCTTTTGCCACCATCGAAGTCAGAGAGAAGATCCCTTGCCAAAAGGGCTAGATGCAAGTCCAACAAACATGATGAGGATGAACCTTGCCAACTCACATTCATTTATATGGTTAGCTGAATACTAAAGAATAAAGCACAATGATATCATAAAAACATTGTAAACAACCATGCTTTGGTTCGACCAAGAACCCTAAAATGAAAAACATCCAGAATTAATGACAAAAGTAAAGGATAGTTTGATACTTACCCACAAATAGCGTGGCCGACTTCATGGTATGCAACCAAGCTTTTGCTCTTCCCATCTGTCATAACCGTTCCTTCCATTCCAGCCACAATCCTATCTATTGAATCATCAATCTCTTTAGATGAGATTGCAGTTTTCCCACGTCGTCCAGCCAATATAGCTGCCTCATTCAAGAGGTTTACAAGATCAGCCCCACTGAAACCAGGGGTTCTCATGGCTATCACTTCAAGAGACACATCTGTATCAAACTTCTTATTGCTACCATGAACCTTCTGTTAGCTCCAGCTCATAAGAAGACCATCCTCCATGTGAAAGCGTAGCATTGCTTGTCAAGCAATGCGGCTTGTCGGTTGGCAAGCCGCAAAGGTAGACGGATTTGCGACGACCACCGAAAGGAGAAGAAGAAGGCTGGCTCTCCTCACCTACCATCTATGTGTATAAATGGAGAGGCTGAGAGGAGAGAAAACAAGCAGCAATACAGAGAGAACACTAAGTGTGAGAGTGTATGTGAGAGAGGCCTGTAATCTTTCTCCAGATAATATATCGCTCTCCGTGGACGTAGGCAATTGCCGAACCACGTAAATATTGTTGTGTTATTGTGTGGAATTGATTTCTGGAATCTAATAGTCCTAACAAGTGGTATCAGAGCCGAATCAACTGCATTCCGAAACAAAAACAGAGTGTTTTTCGAAACTGCCCAGAAATCAAGTTGCTCAAAATCCGGTTTTGAGCATACCAGGAGCAAGGTCTCAAAGAAAGGAGTCCAGAACTGCAAAATAGAGCTCCAGAAGAGCTCACACGCGCCCGCATGCGCCCCCCAAAGAAAGCGCATAAGCCACACGCGCCGTCACGCGTCGACCAGCACACGGCGCGTCAGTTCAGACGCACGCACGCACCCTCACGCGTAGCGTAAGGAAGAAGACGACCACGTCAGCGCGCACGCCAACGCTGCATCAACGCCACGTGGCAACAGACAGACACGTGGCAGACACGTGGCAAGGTTGACCAAGCCGCTGACCGAGCCGTGAGCCGAGCCGTTGACCAGAGCCGCGCCGCTTCCAAGCCGCGTTGACCGGCGCGTTGACTGAGCCGTTGACTCAGCCAAACCGGGGAAATCATCCGGTGCTTCGCAGGCGCACCAGATTCCGCAGATCTGAACCGTCTAAACTGTTTTGGCTTAATCAGAGCCATTCTGAGTCCGTTTTTGACGATCCAATAGTGTTTTTTGACTATTTGGAGTATTCCAGACACATCCGTACGGTCAAATTTTTCATTTGGAGTTTTCTGTAAAAAGACAGAATGCGATGGAGGCATCCACATCAACTTCAGAATCCATGTTCAAGTTAACTCCTTCCAATTATGCAATTTGAAAGTCACGGATGGAAGACATCCTGTTTTTAAAGGACTTGTTTGACCCCATTTTTATAAAAGGGATTAAACCTGAAGGAATGAAAGATGATAACTGGATAAAGATGAATCGCAAGACTATCGCTTGTATCAGACAATGGATAGACCACAGTGTGTTCCATCATGTTGCCAAAGAGACAGATGCCTATGCTCTTTGGACAATGTTAAACGACATGTACCAGTCAAAGACAGCCCGAAACAAAGCCTTGGTGATAAGAAGGCTAGTAAATCTGAAGTAGAAGAATGGTGTGTTTATCGCCGAGCACACCAGTGAATTCAAAATCTAGTGAATCAGCTTGTAACCGTCAAGATGCGATTGGACAATGAAATGCAAGCCGTACTACTGCTCAGTTCTTTACCGGACAGCTGGGAGACATTAGTGGTTTCTCTCAGCACCTCTGCACCAGAAGGGAAACTAACCATGAGTATGGTCACAGATGCCATGTACAATGAAGAAACAAGAAGGAAAGACATGAGAGGTAATCAGTC